TTCCTTCGCACATGCGCAAAAGAGGATTAATTATTGCCTCCAGATATATCGAAGAGGATTAATTATTGCCTCCAGATATATAGAGGAAATCTTAGAGCAACTGGTATACAATTGCATTGAAAATGCCCTTTTTAATATAGATTTTTAGATTTAGATGGCTGCCCATCTTAAATAGACAACTATGTGTGTTTTACAATCTTAAAATGAAAATGAGTATCATCATCATTTGTTCAGGCATCTGCAGGTGCCAGCTCAATTCCTTCTTTTAAATAACTTGGGTAATTTCAGATGCACTTTAGTTCTGTAAAATAAAGGATGTATTTCAAGAGGACACATGCATATCTGTTAAGCATGACTTCACATATTTTGAAAAATATAGATAGAGGCCATGGTAAATTTGTTAAGGAGCAAACTGTCTGTCTCAACATTTTTTTCCTCTAATGTTTAATTTTAAAAAGAACTTAGAAGAGTAGTCAGGATGCTAAGCAAGTACTAGGATTTCCCTCTTTTTTAACCAGTTTTTAACCTTTGAGTTGGTACTCAAAGTTATATGAGATTCTTTCTGCAAATGCTGATTTTCTCATGGTGCTTCATACGATCATGCCATGGATCCACAAGGAAATTTACTCTCTGCAAGATCAGTGCAGAAGTCTTTGGCAGCCTTAAGTGAGACCCATTCCTATTTAACGTTCTTGAACATTTAACTGCCTAGCTGATTCACTTCCAGAAACATTTACTGTCAGAAACACAGTTTATAATAACAGAACACAGAGAAGAAAGGCATATGAGGAAACGAGTTTCCATTCTTTTAATTAAAATGAAACCTTCCCCAATTCCTGTCTATTTTGGCCAGCTTGATTCTATGGCAAATCAATCATTATTTACTCTTCTGTGGTTCTAGGTCTTGGCTTCCAAACTGACAGAGTTGTCATCTTTGAGGACTTTGCACGGCTCAACCATTTCATTTAGCTGCAGCAAAACAAATGCTGTAAGTATGCACTCCTTTAAATTGAAGCCACAAGAGGACAAAGTCACTGTCCTTTTCAAAATGTGCAGGTAGTCTTCATTTAGTGACTGCCTTGGGCAGCACTGTTTACAGTTACAAAGGTGATGAAAAAGTAACAGTCAGTTAGTGTGGGTTCTCCTGTGCCTGACTTTTTTTTTCTTTTCTCCCAGAGAAAAGAGATTGCTTCAATAAGGCTTTTCTTTGCCTCTTATGCAAACAGCTGGTGCTAGTGCATTCTTTTCAATGCATATTCCCTATTGGGTGTCTTCTTACTCTCTTGTAATCCCTTCCTCTCCATTTAATGCATATACCAACATTAATTCTCTTCTTGCTAATTATCCCAACCCTGGATGAACATTCCAAGCAATAGAAGTATGGGGAACTAAGACTATAAGATGCGTCTAATTTTCCCCCTACGTTTTGGCTCATACAATTGTTTGGAGCCAACTCCTTCTGGTGCTGTAAAGCGAATGAAAGCTGAACTAAAATTATAAGCATTGTTGTCACATTATTTCAGGATCAAGCTCCTAGCTGTGGGCAAAGTTTGCATGCAATACTGTATTCTAACCATTGTGCCACCACAGCATCAGCTTTGATAATAATGTCCTAACTAGTTTTATAAGTTGGGCTAAGGAGTAGGTACAGAATACAGCAGCTGCAAGTATTAAAGATCATGGGCGGTAGCAAATGAAAAAATGAAGAAGAGGCATGGGCTGAGAAAGAGAAGTTGGGAACAAAAGGAGATGGGTAATCCAAAGGAGTATATTATTTTAGGAGAAGGTAGAACAAGCTAGGAAAATTGAACAAGAAGCAGTATCTTTGAAACAGAGAACAAATAGCAATAGCAGTAGATTAATTAAAATGAGGAATTTTAGAACATAGAATGTGAACAAACATTACAACAAGTTGAATACAACTTGAAGTGACATATGGGATTGTCTAGGATTTCTGGGAGGGTGCTGACCAATGGTGGGTTCCGGATCCTGTTGCAACTGGTACAGTGCAACGGGGCCTGGGGTCCACCACATGAATGCATGCAGCACGTGCACACAGAGTGTGCGCACATGTGCTTACCATCTGCAATGCTCCGCAACACCTCCGCAACACTCCAGCTGCTCTGTGGAGCGTCACGCAGGCGCTTACGTACCATGCGCGTGCACGGATGCCCCGAAGAGCTCAAATACAGGTAAGGACAGAAGGTGGGCGGCTGGGCCCTCCAGAGCACCATACCGGAACAGTACCCAATGCTCCCGGCAGGCACCGGTACGCTAGTACCGGTGCGTACTGATCATAACCCACCGCTGATATTGACTCTTTGAGCCTGCCTTATATAGCTTTCCTGGTAAAATACATGGAAAATACAATGCAATCAATAGATAGAGTATAGGAACTGACAGGATCTTATATGATTGCTTTTTAAAAAGATCCTGTCTTCTTATTGATTTTATACCTTGTTGATAGAGGATTTTTCTTCATAAACTTGAATGCTTCTGATCTGGAGCTAAAAAAGAGTTAAACATGTTTAAGAAGCAACAGGTGATAAGTTTGAATTTTGCATATTAGTCAAAACCAAAAGCCACCAATATTTGTCTTCTGTCTTCTGATTCCCTTTTACTGCTTTTTTGGCTTGCAGGGGGATATTGTGGTAGACAATGGCAATGCAAAAATTGTCCAGCGGTATATGGAATTCAATGTGGGCATTGCTTATGGAACTGATCACCTTCTTGAGCCTCCAGATTTGGGATCCCGTTGTGATGAATTTCAAACAGTTGAGATTTCAGTAAGTATTTAAATTTTAATCATCGATGTTTACTGATTTAGATCATTATCATGTTACCCAGAAAATAAGACCTGGAAACACAATTTCAGGGTGATCACCACCCCCAGGCTTTTGCACAGAAGCTGGCAAGCATGTGAGAGACTGACGGTATCTGACAGCAGCTTCAGCCTACCAGTCCTTGGGTCAGTGCATTCTGGGGCTGCACAGAATGGATGGCATGGAGTGGAAGGCAGGTAATCCCAATGTGCTGCGAAGATGAGTCTCCCGCAGTCACCTGCTGCTCTGGCCCAACACCACTTTGCTCTCCCATGGCTCATGTATCACATGTAGATTGCCTGCCTTCCTCTTCATCACTTCCTCTGTCTGCTGCTAGTGTCACCATGCAAAGATGAGCCCCCTACAGCCACCCACCACTCTAGCCCAACAACACTCGGCTTTCCCACGGCCCACATGGCATGTCCAGATCACATGCCTCTGTTTACATCTGCTGCTTGCACAGGTAATCAACTCACCTGTGCTGTGCGGGCTCCAGCTGCTGCCAGACAATATCAGCTTGCATGCACTCACCACCGCTTTTGCTGGACACGCTCACTCCCTTCTCTAGGGTTTACTTTTTGGGTAGGGCTTATATTAGGTGCATATGGTATTTTCATTTGATTGATTTAATAACATTAAAGCATTCTCTAGATCAGGGGTCCCCAACCCTTGATCTGTGGCCCAGTACCATTCCTCGATATGCCAGCAACTGGTCCACACAAACAAGTGAAGCCCCTTCCATGGGATGCAATCAGCATGCAAAACCACGCCCCCTTCAGTCCATGGAAAAACCTTTTTCCACCGAATTGGTCCGTGGTGCCAAAAACGTTGGGTCTGCTGCTCTGGATAAAAAGAAGACTTTTAGTTAACTTTCTTATACTAATGTTGACAGTGGCAACCAGCAGTTTCTCCGTGCTATTTCCATGTTTGTGAAAATTAGTATAATATAGTCTTTATTGTCATTGTACAAAATAAATACAACAAAATTGGTATTAATTAATTAAATTAATTAATTAATATTAATTACTTTCCAATAAGAAGTCAACTTATAAGGGATATGAGCAGCATATAAATTTAACAACAACAACAACAACAACAACAACAACAACAACTCCTAGGTCCTTGGTTAGGACTCGAGCTGTTGAGC